AGGTCCAGCAGGACCCATGGGATCCCAGTTTCTTTGTACTCCCCTGGAGAACCTCTTGCACCATGCGGAGGGGCATGCCCCCCAGTTTGTGCATCATTAAGTTACAGTATTTCTCCTGGACCATGGGAACGAATGAGGTCACTATTAAAATGCTGCAAACATAGAGAGGTTCCCAGAAACTAATGTTTATTTTAAATCAGTACATTTGCAGGACCCATGGGATCCCAGTTTCTTTGTACTCCCCTGGAGAACCTCTTGCACCATGCGGAGGGGCATGCCCCCCAGTTTGTGCATCATTAAGTTACAGTATTTCTCCTGGACCATGGGAACGAATGAGGTCACTATTAAAATGCTGCAAACATAGAGAGGTTCCCAGAAACTAATGTTTATTTTAAATCAGTACATTTGTTTCCCCTGTAGATGGACTGTGCAAATAAGAAACAGGCCAATTTTACAGGTCAGGGAAGGCCACTATTTCGAAATGATTACAAACTCCTTCTTTCTGTTGATTCAAAGTCTCATTGGTGACATTCTGTTTTTGGAAAACTGTCTTTTCATATTGCCACAATCTACCTAACATATAACCAAATGCATGAGATGTTAAATGTCATATTGCTATTGTAGGTATGAAATGCCCCCCCATTGCCACAGTACCATGTCACAGTTTTTAATTTATTTAGCCAAATGCACAGACTGCAGAGAGGTAGGGTAATGCCATTACCCGCATTTTTACAGATGGCAAACTGAGGGTTGGATACCTAGATTCTCAAAGGAGTTTAGTCACTGAGGGAAACTAGGTGCCTAAACATTTTGGGGATTTGAATCTCAATGACTTCCCTGAGGTTACATAGGAAGAAGACCATGACAGAACAGAGACTTGAAGACGGGATGCCCAGTTCCTAAGCTAGTGCCCTAACCACTGGCCAGTGCTTCCTTTCTGGCTAGAATCTTCTTTGTTTCTACTCTATCTCTCTGGCACCCCAGCTACACTTACATTCTCAATTACTATGGAAGGGATTCCTGTATATACCTCTGTCCATTTTCATCTCTCTCAGTAGTCTACTTATGAATGCCCAACTGCCATTTCAAACTCTGAACTCTGGGTCTTTGCTAAACAGGTGTATATGGAATGCAGTGTGGGGAAAGGGGACTGGACTATACAATAATTCCTCATTTACCACGGTAGATACGTTTCAGAAAATGATCGTGCTAAGTGAAAACGTGTTATGCGGGGTTATGCATTCTGCAGCCCTACAGATGAGCAACTGTCTCAATTACTTGATAAATTCAGCAGATAAGGAGGTGTTCCTGTTCCTGTTAAGTAGCAGAGAGAGTTCTCCCAGCTTAGCCTACCTGGTTCATTCAGAAGTATGCAAGGACCCTCTCTGCCTGGCATAACCACTATATCCAGCAGTACAGCAGGGACACCATGTGCAAATGGAAGCACAGGAGGTGCATGCCTGCCCTGTCTACTTGAAGACTGATCCTTTGTCCTTAGAAGTCAATGGCAAAAGTCCTAGGTTAGGTGACCAGACTGTAGGTGTGAAAAATTGGGACAGGAATGGGGGGCAATAGGGTTCTATGTAAGATAAAGCCCCTAATATCAGGACGGTCCCACTAAAATCATGACATCTTGTCACTTTAGGACCTACTGCCTTCCATGGTGCATGAATCCTAGAAGCAATAGCTACCCGGTGGATTTTAGCTACTTACCTTGATGTTCCTGAACTGTGTTATTAAAAAGTCTGATGTTCCAAGCGCAGGAATCAATGCCAGTAAAATATAAAATAACAGATGGTTTGCCATGTTGGAAAAATGAGCAACTCTACTGTGAGGGATGTGTGCAATAAATAATGCCCTGTTTACAGTCTGTTAATAAACAACCAAATGCGATAAGGGTTAAACATTAGGCAAACAGGGAAAAAGCAAATACTGAAATTTTGAAATTATAGCAAAGTTTGTAGAAAATTATTTGGAAACTCTCTCTTCCAAACAATGTTTTAATTACATTTAAGACTGAAAAGAAATATTCTCTCTACCATATTAATATTTTGCATTATACCTAAGTAACTGAATATTACAAAATCTCCATTATGATCCTAATAGTAGCCTTACATTTTGTACACAGGCATTCTAACTCAATACTTCCACATATTCCTGCTTATTTTCCACATACAGAAACACCCCATGGTAATAATACCTAATCCTCCGTGGCTTGGAAAAGTTTTTTCAATGATACTCCCCTTCAGCTTTTTATGCTTCTTATGGGCTGCAATCACCGAATTCCCCTTGGGATTGTTCCCCAGTATGCTGATCATGACACTGACACCCATCTTCTAGCTTTCTGGGGCTCCCCCCCCCCGACCCTATCCTGCTGGACCAGACTCTCTGGTCTCCCCCAGACAAGGCACCAAATTGGGATCACTGCCCACCTGCAGAGCAATGCAGACATGGAACCACTTCAGCTCTGGGAGGTTGCAGTTCTAGGGCTCAGCACCCAGGAAACCAACCCCCAAAAGGGATCAACCCCCCAAAATAAATCCATATTTGTGTAAAAATTTTACAAAAGGAAAGTTCATGAGTTCATTTTGTCCTCCTGCTCACAAACAGGGAGGAACTAGTAGAGGAAGTACATGTGGGTGGCAACCTGGGCTGCAGTCATCATGGGATGGTCGAGTTCAGGATCCTGACCAAAGGAAGAAAGGAGAGCAGCAAAATAAACACCCTGGACTTCAGGAAAGCAGACTCTGACTCCCTCAGAGAACTGATGGGCAGGATTCCCTGGGATGCTAACATGAAGGGGAAAGGAGTCCAGGAGAGCTGGCTGTATTTTAAAGAAGCCTTATTGAAGGCACAGGAACAAACCATCCTGATGTGCAATAAGAAAAGCAAATATGATAGGCGACTGTAGTAAGTTGAGGGTCAGTAACATGGAGTCAGCAGGCCTGAAGAGAGGCAGTGCTGTGAAAACAGGTGGAGGTATCAGTAGTTTGCTATTGCAGCAACATGCCATCAATATTGATAACATGCCTCTCATTGCACAAGGATTCAATCACCATAACAATACTATTGTGTCGATCATTAATAGTATCCAAAACAATGATGTTTCACTGACGGTTGCACGTGTGGCCTATGGCAACTGAATACTAGAAATAATTAAGGAAAGTTTACTGCAAGCGCAGTTACAAAATTGGCCGCATATATTAGATCGCACCACCATCCTCAAACAAATACAAAAGCAAGGGATTCATGGAATAGCCCCAGCGTTTTTAAAATTGGCTAAATTTGACAAAGTCCCCAAATTTGATCATGAGGATGGTAATACGGTGCACCTCATGATGGCAGTCCCCAGGTGGACACAGGAACCAATGAAGGTTTACTATGTGAATAGTGTGGGCACTTGGATCAACAACACCTACATACAGCATTATCCCACTGTGCATTTGGTAACGGAAGGAGGCTTGGAAATTAATCAAGCTTGATGCACAAAGCATAAGGATGGTGGCTGTGTGAATGTTATGCCACAAGCAAGAATAACAACACACTGGATGGATGGGCTCGATTAGTACATAAGGAATTGGTGGCTGAAGTGGTTCGAGTCCATGACCTGGTATGTGCCTTGGGATACTCCAACTTCACAATTCCTGGGAATATCTGCTTTGCAGAGGACACAGGCTTTTGTGTGCCAGTTGTGGGCACAATGCAAGTAGGCCCCCATGCTTTCTGGCCAACAAGCAATGTAAATGTTGTCAACGAAACCATTAATCCACCTGGGGCCATAAAGAATTTGTTAACCCAACTATTTCCTCCAGTGGAACACTTGTAGCTAGACATCCATGAGTTGGTAGACAGGACTAAAGAAGCTTTGATACCCATTGCTAAATTGATACAACAACAGAGTGAGGAAATAGATGAGATACAAAAAGAACTGGAAACACCTTGGTGGGCAATACCGGAGGACGTGACTCTCCATCCAATAGTCAGAACTTCGAGCCTACTATTAATGGTAACCCAGGCCAGAACAGTTGTAGTTCTATTGGGAATGTGTTGCTATATGTGTAATCGGGATAAAGATATAAAATTACAAAAGAGAGTCAAGAGAGGAATGGAAGTGGCACTGAATAATGCCATACAGAGACACCTAGCAGCGTAAGGATGATATGATTGAAGGTGTGGCCATAGTAGTAAGAGTAATAGTAAAATTAAAGTGAAGGGATTGGAAAATTATGTATGTTTATTTTTTTATATAGTTAAGTGAAATGGTTATTTATGTAATTCACTATTACCGGTATATTTATCTTATTGCACATTTATGGTATATTATTTGGTATGTTTAATCGTAATCACATATATTAATATATAGGGAAAGTAATCATACACATATATATGTCAGATATATAAGCAATAATCCATCAGAAGGCCAACCGGTAGTACCCTCATATATCACCGGACCCCACAGATTACGGTCCCGGACCTAACATTCCCAGGCCCTCCATAAGAGACCTAACCGAATTGGAAAATAAAATCTGTCCATCAGTCGTACCAGGGAATGTACAGACCAAGGGACCAATGGGGCATGAGTGTGTGAACGATATAACAAAGGTGTCCACATAACAGTGTTTACCCCACTGGGTTACCTTCAGTTCATGCATTATGTTTTTCCGGGATGATGGGTAAACATCCTCCACATAAAAGGACAAAAAGTGGGGGAATGTAGTAAACTGAGGATCAGTAACATGGAGTCAGCATGCCTGAATAGAGGCCTGTAACATGAAAGCAGCAACAGGCCTAGAATCTAGTAAGCAAGATTTTGGTTCAGGAACACAGGAGCCAAGAAAGAGGCCCTACTGATAACTGTGTAATTGTGTAAGTTAGGTGAAGCATGGAAGGACACAGGGAAGCACCAAGTACAGACTGTGAGCCAAAAGAGAGTAACGGAACATCTTAAGGAATGTCCTGGTACAAGAACTCCCTAAGAGTTAGGCACATACCAACCTAGATTCAGGACCAGGTCGGAACTGACAGGATGACAAATAGAAGGTAAGACCCCTTGCACAAGGTGAGGGGTGGTAACTAGGCAACAGAGGGTGGCAACCTGGTACGTAAAGAAGTGATGTAAGTTGTTTGTACCTGTCTATAAAAGTACACTGCAAAGGGTGCTCTCTGGCCGACCTGGGAGTTAGGCACATACCAACCTAGATTCAGGACCAGGTCGGAACTGACAGGATGACAAATAGAAGGTAAGACCCCTTGCACAAGGTGAGGGGTGGTAACTAGGCAACAGAGGGTGGCAACCTGGTACGTAAAGAAGTGATGTAAGTTGTTTGTACCTGTCTATAAAAGTACACTGCAAAGGGTGCTCTCTGGCCGACCTGGGGGCCCAGACAACCAGGCTCAGCCTCCCAGGGAGGAAGACAAAGGAAGGAGGGTGGAGACCAGCACCTGGCTGGGGGCAGGGCTGGAAGAGAGGTTTTTGGAGTTTCTGTCTGGTATCATGGAGGAAGCAGCCTAAGCAAGGGGCTGGGATTTAGGGGCCCAGTCTCCCCCATCTCAAGGGGGCTGAGGCATCCTAGGCCTGCCCTGTAACCAGATTACATCTAGGCTGTGCTGTATCCTGGAGAAGCAATAAACTCCCTCGATTCTACTGGCTGGTGGAGTCTGTTCGTGCCACTATGGGGGTGCAGGAGGCGGGGGACCCCGACGTGCCACCACATATGGTAATAGGCCTGCCCGGTGTTGGTACCTTGTCAACGTGGGCCATAATGCACAGTGGTGTAACATTGTACTGATCTCTGTTACCAACTGTTAGAGCTTCATAATTGACAATAAACCTGCTTGATTGATTTACCACTCCCCCTACCCCCATCAGACACGGCAGGGGAACAATGTCCCAAGTGGTCTTCCGTCCAAGAAAAATAGAAAATACTAGACATTTTATATGTCAGGGCTAATACCTGGCAACCCTAGTCACTGAGGCAAGGTGGGTACAGGGGAACTGTGTGTGACACTGACAGTCCGGACTACCAAAGGTACTGAGGTACAGAACACTGAGGTACGACAACGACCAGATTGGCTTACCAGGGAAATCCTTGGTGATCTTAAACACAAAAAGGAGGCTTATAAGAAGTGTAAACTTGGACAGATGACTAGAGAGGAGTATAAATATATTGCTTGAGAATGCAGGGGTGTAATCAGAAAGGCGAAAGTGCAATTGGAATTGCAGCTAGCAAGGGATGTGAAGGATAACAAAAAAAGGTTTCTACAGGCATGTTAGCAATAAGAGGGTGATCAGTGAGGGTATGGGGCCCTTACTGGATGAGGGAGATTACATAGTGACAGATGATGTGGGAAAAGCTGAAGTACTCAATGCTTTTTTTACTTCTGTCTTCACAGACAAGGTCAGCTCCCAGACTACTGCACTAGGCAAAGCAGTATGCGAAGGAGGTAGGCAACCCTCAGTGGAGAAAAAACAGGTCAAGAACTATTTAGAAAAGCTAGACATACAAATCCATGGGTCCAAATTCAATGCATCCAAGGATACTGAGGGAGTTGGCAAATGTCATTGCAGAGCCTTTGGTCATTATCTTTGAAAACTCGTGGAGATCAGGAGAGGTCCTGGATGATTGGAAAAAGGCAAATGCAATGCCCATCTTTTAAAAAGGGAAGAAGGACAATTCAGAGAACTACAGACCAGTGAGCCTTATCACAATCCCCAGAAAAATCATGGAGTAGATCCTCAAAGAATCCATTTTGGAGAACTTGGAAGAGAGGAAAGTGATCAGGAATAGTCAACATGGATTCACCAAGGGCAAGTCATGCCTGACCAACCTGATTAGCTTCTGTGATGAGGTAACTGGCTCTGTGGACATGGGGAAGTCAGTGGATGTGATATACCTTGACTTTAGCAAAGCTTTTGATACGGTCTCCCACAATAATCTAAACAGCAAGTTAAGGAAGTATGATAAATGGACTGAAAGGTGGATACAAAGCTAGCCAGATTGTCAAGCCCAACGGCTAGTGATCAATGACTCAATGTCTGCCTGGTGGTCGGTTTTAAGCAGAGTGCCCCAAGGATCAGTTCGAGGGCTGGTTTTGTTCAACATCTTTATTAATGACCTGATTGAGGGGATGGATTGCACCCTCAGCAAGTTTGCAGATGACACTAAACTAGGGGGAGAGGTAGATACACTGGAGGGCAGAGATAAGGTCCAGAGTGACCTAGACAGATTAGAGGATTGGGCCAAAAGAAATCTGATGTTCAACAAGGACAAGTGTAGAGTCCTGCACTTGGGATGGAAGAATCCCAAGCATTGTTACAGACTGGGGACCGAATGGCTAAGTAGCAGTTCAGCAGAAAAGGACCTGGGGATTACAGTAGCTGAGAAGCTGGTTATGAGGCAACAGTGTGCCCTTGTAGCCAAGAAGGCTAACGGCATTTTAGGGTACATTAGTAGGTGCATTGCCAGAAGATCTAGAGAAGTGATTACTCCCCTTTATTTGGCACAGGTGAGGCCACATCTGGAGTATTGCATCCACTTCTGGGCCCCCCACTATAAAAAGGATGTGGACACATTGGAGAGGGTCCAGCAGAGGGCAACCAAAATGATTAAGGGGCATGTGACCGATGAGGAGAGGCTGAGGGATTTGGGCTTATTTAGTCTGCAGAAGAGAAGAGTGAGGGGGGATTTGATAGCAGCCTTCAACTTTCTGAAGGGAGGTTCAAAGAGGAAGGAGAGAGACTGTTTTCAAAGGCGACAGATGGCAGAACGAGGAGCAATGGTCTCAAGTTGCAGTGGGGGAGGTCTAGGCTGGATATTAGGAAAAACTATTTCATCAGGAGGGTGGTGAAGCACTGGAATGGGTTAGCTAGGGAGGCATTGGAATCTCCATCTCTAGAGGTTTTAAGCCCCTTTCTTGACAAAGCCCTGGCTGGGATGATTTAGTTGGGCTTTGTCTTGCTTTGGGCAGGGGGCTGAACTCGATGACCTTCTGAGGTCTCTTCCAGTCCTGGGAGTCTATGCGTCTATGAGGCTGTTCATCTTTTTTATTGATGTAGTGGAGATATGCACAGTGGTTGCTCCCCCTCAGGTAACAATTATTTACACTCGGCCTAATAGTAAACACAAGTGTTTTATTAATCACAAAAAAGCTGGATTTAAGTGGCTGCAAATGAAACCAGACAGAACAAAGTAAGTTACTAAATTAAAATGAACAGAAAATTCATAGGTAGTTATAATTCACTAGGAAAGTTGTTACATGCAAATTCTTACGCTAAACAGTTGTTTCTATTTCAGGCATAAGCTTCAAGTAAGAGCTAATTTTTTACTTTGACTTGGGTCTCCAGCTCTTCAGAGTTCTTTGTATCCTCTTAGGGTATGTCAGGCAGTTTCTAAAGCTAGCTGAAGACAACAGGCTGATAGCTTCCCATTGCTTAAACAGACTCTCCCCCAGAAAAGGAATCTTTTGTTTGATATCCCCTTTCCCATGGAAAAACACCAGATTCAAAATGGATTCCAGTACAAGGTGGCATGGTCACATCTTTCTAGACCAATCGCCTTTGGATTTACAGGAAAAACAAGGCTGTTTACAAGAAATTGAGTTGATCATCGAACCATTATGTTGCTGGAACACAAATAATGGCTTTCATTAGCATATTTAAAACTATAAACAGATTCACACTTCATATTTCTAATTTCACATACAATAATGATACATGCACAGAGATAGGATATACAGATCCAGAAGACTGCAATATTAAAATTGATAGGTTACATGAGATATTTTGTGTAAAGCATCTTTGAGTTATGCATATTCATATTCATAAGCTAATTTTCAAAAAGCATGGGGGAGGCAGCATAATGCCTCCATGAGCTGGAAACACTGATTGCTTTTCCAGTGCCAGGAGCATGCTGATGGATCAAAAATTATATCTTAAATATAATTGATGTAAATAAAGCAAATAAATACATCAAGAAATGAAAGAAGGAGCATAAGTGGTGAGTGGTTGGACATATAAGAAGCCTAAGATAAAGCCAGTGTAACTATGAATTTACTGACTCTTTTACATTTTAGATCATAGTCCTAAACTTATGCAAGCACATACCTAATGTTGTGTGTGTGAATAGTCAGGTTTATGCTTAACTGTTTCCATGTTGGAGAAATTTCAGCTCCACCATTGTGTTTTGTTTAGGTATACTGTAAGGGGGAAAAAGCTCAACTTTAAATAAAGCTCAACTTGACTTTCTTTAAAAATTGTTTAAAAAAATTAAATACATAGATTACAACCTAAAGCCAAGATTTACCAAAAAATGGTTGCCTAATATCAAGATTCTAAATCTAGATTGAGATATCTAAATAAGCAACCTAATTTCCATAAATTCTGAGTGCATAATGATCAATGCTAAGCTGCTGGGTGCTGAAGAGATGGACAAACAGGTCCACACTTGTCTAAGTTTAGGATATTGGCCTAGGATGCACTGTGATTCATGTCATGGTTCCAAAGTCTCAAGTCTGTGAGTGCTGTAGCAGTGAAAGGGGCACGGAACAGAAGTGAGGAGGTCTTCGTTTTGGAGGGTTGGTGTTGGTCTTAGGAAGAAAAAACCTTGAGTGAGACAGAAGTACCTATGATGGAAATCACAGGTTTTCAATTACCCACCGCAGGCAGATCTAACTGGTACCTGACACATCCCCTAGGCCAGTGGTCACCAACCAGTAGATCGGGATATAAAGGGCTGGCAGGTCAGCTGCTCCTTCCCCACTGCTGTGCATATCCTGCCCATTGCCTTGGAGCTGTCCCCTCAGGAGTCTTTTGCTTGCTGTGGAGGACGGGGAGGTAGATGAGAGGTGCTGAGGTCAAGGTGCCCCCTCTCCCACCCAGCATCTTATCTCCACAGGGCAGAGAAGGGACACAACAGGACTTGGGATGGAGTTTTCTGGATGCTTTTGGGAGTGGTGCAGGGCCAGGACAAGGGTGAACCTCCCTCAGCTCTGCTGCACCACCACCCAGGAGTTAAACAGTGGCTAGCTGGAGCCCACATCCTGAACTCCTACCCCAGTCATGATTCCCCTCCCCCCCCCAAGTCCCTGTTTTAGCCCCGCTGTATCCAAATGTCCTCCCAGAGCCTGCACCTAGAACCCCCTCTGGCAGCCCAACTGCCTACCCCAGGCTCAGCTCAGAGCCCCTCTCACACTCCAAATCCCTGAATCCAAGACCAGAGGCTGCAGCCCAACCCTCTGTCCCAGCCTGGTGAAAGTGAAGGAGGACGGGGGAAGGACGGAGTATGGAGTGAGCGGAAATGGGGCCTCAGAGAAGGGGTAAAAGGCGGCAGGACAAGGGTATTTAGTTTTGAGGTAGATCTGGGATTGCACTTAAATTCAAAAAGTGATCTTGTGCTTAACAAGGTTGGAGACCCCTGCCCTAGGCGGTCTGCAGCTCTGCTGGGCTAGACAGGGCACTGCATGCTGGGACCTGTGCCCTGTGGCATGAAGGTCTGCAGAGCTAGACGCAAAGCACTGCATGCTGGGACCTGCCCCCCTAGGCTGGAGGCAGAGCACTGCATGCTGGGACCTGCCCCCCTAGGCCGGAGGCAGAGCACTGCATGCTGGGACCTGCCCCCCCCCCCCCAACAGACCAGGGAGACGCGGAGCGGCTTTTCTCAGCAGACACCTCAGCTTGAGAATAAAGGACTGAGGGAAGTGAGGTGTGGGAGAATAAAACTGAGCTCTGGAGAAATGTTTGGCTAGAGTTTCCCCTACAATATGTACCAGTTCCGACTTACATACAAATTCAACTTAAGAACAAACCTACAGTCCCTATCTTGTACGTAACCCGGGGACTGCCTGTACAACTATATTTCAAGAAACTCACAACATAAGAGAAACAGGAAAAAAAAAAGTGGCACACAGGCAATTTACCAAATCTATGAGTCTTTGAAGAGTGGAATGAGATTTTATAGCTCATATTTAACACAATTAAAATAAGATTTAAGCTACCTAAAACTTTAATTGTTAATCATCTTAATCCATTCAGCCAGCGGGGAGTCAAAGGCGTTCGCGTTAATTGCTCCTTTATTAGCACCAGCCCCCTTCGCTAGACGCCTACACGCTGATCTGGGCGCGCTTTCAAAGATGGCCGCCGAGGCTAGCGGGCACTCCAGCCAAGATGGCCGCCGGGGAGGCCGCCCGAACCCGTAATGGCGGCTTCAGCGACTGAGGGAGGCTGCCCACAGCCGAGATGGCCGCGCCCGTACCATAGAGAGGGGGCGGGCTCGCTACGCGCGGTGCTGTCTATAGCAGAGGGAGGCCCGTGCGGGTCTCTATGGCAGCGCTGGTAACGTTCCCGAGGCGGCCGGGCCCGTGCGCCCCAGCGGCTCCGGCCCCCGAGCGCTGACGGGGCCGCCGGGAGGATGCCCCAGGCCGCCTACTTCTTCCTGCGGGCCGTAGGCAAGGGCAGCTACGGCGAGGTGAGCCTGGTGCGGCACCGGCAGGACAACCGACAGGTAACCGGGAGCTGGGCGCGCAGGGCTCCGACCACCCCCTTCCGCCCCGGGGCCTGCGGCCGCTCCGACCCCCGCCTCGCTCGCGGGCTCTGGGGAAGCAGCGGGGCCTGCTTCTGCCAAGGGGCGGTCTGTGGGCGTGTGACCCCCTCCCATCTGCCCGCGCTCTGGCGGGAGGGGTTGGTTCGTGTGGTCCCCTGAGCACCAGCCTCTCCTTTCCTCAGCTCTGCCTCCTGACCCCCTGGAGCCTGTGTGTTGGGCAGTGCTGGAGGACGCTTCCTTCCTGGCCCGCCCAAGAGTTACGTTCTGAAGCATGGCGATTTGTTTCTCATCTCAGAACTCCTCACAAAACTGCTCAGGGTTGGTCTCCTGGAGTATGCAGATTGGTAAAGGGCTATTTTTGGTCCAAAGGAGGGAGAATATGTTGATAAAACCATCATTCACTATGGCTGTGTCTACACTGGCATGAATTTCCGGAACTGCTTAAAACGGAATACGATTCCATTTTCAGTTTTTCTGGAAAAGGAGCGTCTACATTGGCAGGCTGCTTTTCGGGAAAAGCCCTTTTTCCGGAAAAGCATCTGTGGCCCATGTAGACGCGCTTTTCCGGAAAAGAGCCCCGATCACCATTTTCGCAATTGGGGCTTTTTTCTGGAAAAGACTACTGGGCTGTCTACACTGGCCCTTTTCCGGAACAGTGTTCCGGAATAAGGACTTATGCCAGAGCAGGAGCAGAATAGTTTTTCCGGAATAGCGGCTGATTTTGTACAGTAGAGCATCGTTGCTTTTCAGCTTATTCCAGAAAAGCGGCTGATTTTCTGGAATAAGTGGCCCAGTGTAGACACAGCCTATATGAAACAGTTAAGTGTGGTCTGGGGTAGCATCTTAAATAATTGTTGGTTTAATTCCATCATAACATTTTAAAAGTTTGTATTAAATACATAGAAAATAGAAGCTAAACATTCAGAACTTAAAGTGTTAAGGTGCCAATTTAAAAATTTTCCTTTTCTTTTAGCTACATATGGGCTTTATTTTGGGAAGAACCCTGCTTTGGTTGTCTTTTTCAATGCTGTTAGATATGCTATTAACTGCCCTTGATGGGTTAAAATAGGTTTGCAATACATCTGACCCTTTAATTCTAATAGAGAGGTAGCCATGTTAGTCTGATCTTGCTAAAACAAAAGGAAAAACTATGTAGCACTTTAAAGACTAACAAGATGGTTTAATTACTTTAATTCAATTCTAAACACTTAAAAGGAGGAGAAGAATTACAAAGATGGAAAATGATAGAAATGTAGCCAGGTTAGTCTGGTGTAGCTGAAACAAAAAACAGGACTATGTAGCACTTTAAAGACTAACAAGATGGTACATTAGGTGATGAGCTTTCGTGGGCCAGACACACCAGATACAGTACATATTATCAGCCATTCTAAGACCTGGAAAACTTTGTCATTGCTTTTAAGCCATTGTTCAAGCTGTCCTCCTCTGCTCAAAGAGTCACAACAGCATTGTGAATGGTACCTTGAACATCTTAAACCAAAGGAAACAAAAGAAATAAAGTATGGAAGGAAAAGTACATGAGGGAGGAATCTAAGATTCATGTCCTTTGTTATGATCTGATGGAGGTGGTGATGTCATTCTGGGTTCCTTTCTTTGGCCTACTATGGCCAGGATGTCTTTTCAGTATCAGGACAGCAAAAGCCCAGTGGTCTCATGATAGGTCCCTGGAGACTGAGGAGGTGATAGCTGTGCTGGTAAAGCTTGTTCAGTCCATTTCACACATACCACTCACTGCCCCTCATTGACTCCTGGCTAAATAATGTCCAATAAGGGATAATATTCAGCCTATTAAAATTAACCAATTAGAACATATTGTGGTGACTTCTACTGTAAAAAACCCTCACTTCTAGAATATTTCAGTTCATGGTCATGCAACTGTCAACTTTAGCAGGAGCCTTGAGCCCTTTACCAGAACTTGTTTAATGTAAACAGTCCAGTGTGTACCATAGTTTGCCTTTAACTTTTGTTAACTTTCATAATTAATCTTGGATAATAGCCTTTTGAAATCCTGGACCTATTGGAGTGATGCCCTGTGCACAACACTATATATTCTCCCCTCCTTCTCACCCTCCCCCCACAGTATCGTCACTTTTTATTTGTTTTAACTGCACTTACAACAAGACATCAGAAGAAATTAAAAGTATTATAGGTAAGAGCAAAAAGGAAGATCCTAACAGTTTCTATTCTTTAAAATTTTCAGTACTTCATTTACTACTCCTCTACTTTGCACATGGTTTGATAACTACTGCAGATGAACATTAGGATAGACAGTAGGGATGGTCAAGAAGCCCAATTGCAAGGATAATAATTGTTAAATACCTACCCAAAGAGACTATAAATGGTGACATTTTGATTTAAAATTATAGGTGAAGTTTTACATTTCTGTTTTCTTTGTGTGAGGGGAGGCTGGAATAAAGCAAGGTGTTATAATTCTGTGTCCATATCAAAGATACAATTGCAGTTTTTTTGTTACATGTTAAATGGATGGCTATGCTGCATACCACTCAGTTCTTCAGGTCACCATGGCAGACATTATTTGAATTATTGGTAAATATTCTTTTTTACCCAAAAGCTCCAGTCAAGGATTGGTGTCACAGGATGGCACAATTCCAACCACAAAGAGTTTATAATAAAAAAATCTTTGCAATTATTGAATGTAACAAACAAGAAGTCCCGGTCTACAATACTGTAGACAGGTTGGCTTAGGGTACACCATCCATCTACGCAAAATGCGTAGCTGGACTCAATTTACCTTAGGCCAAACCCTTAGGCGTCTGGTAGTCTAGACGGGGAAGGCATAGGCTTCCCAAATCGCCAGGTGTGGCCCGCCTACACTCTGCCCCCAGAATGCCTGCTGCCAGAGCACGTTTTAATTGGTAGAAAATTCTAAAGTAGATCTAACCTTTTCATGTTTAGAAAAAAGTATTCTCCCCACTCCTCCCTCCTCTCCTATTACACTTCTCTCAGTTCTTTCTTTCACTGGTGGAGACAGTTTTTCCTGTCAGTATGCCAATAGGATGCTTTCCTATCTTTTTAATAGATTCGTGTGCTGTACTTTTTTGCAGTCCCTTCTTCTGTGAAGACCTGTCACCACCTTCGCACATTATAAATATAAATAGAGATGACTTTTAATAGAAGCTTTGAATTATAAATGGTTTGCTTTTCTATACCTTCTGCTCTAGCGCATCTCTGATCTACAATCCTGGCACTTGGTACTAAAATACTGTTTCACTGAGTTTAATCAATTTTCCTCAAAAGTAATTTGCTTCAACTCAACAGGCCACTCTTCCTCAAACTGAGAAAGATTAGCTACTTCGAGTTTTTTAAACTTTCTGTACTTGAACACAATTAGGTTAGCTGCCCTTTGTTCTATAAACTCATTCCCATTTTTCTTAAGTGTGTATAGATTGAAGAGTTAAATTATTAAAATGTCAACCTGTTGACAGTAATTCATTTCTGACTAGAGAAAAGCATTTCAGAATCAAGTGGCAAGCACAGGACTGAGCAATAACCCATTGTTTGTGACTAAGAAAAAAAATTAGTTACTGATCAAAACTCTTAAATATGTGAATTAGCCATATTTGTTCCATTTTACAACATAATGGACACTTAAATGTAACTGTGTTGGATAAATTCCAGCTTCTATATGTATTTTAAAACATTGTTTTGAAGATTTTTAGAAATTGCCAATTTATTTCAGTAGTAACTTGGATGTTTTCATTGAAAATCTTTTGTTTTTCTCTTTGCAGTATGTCATCAAAAAGCTAAACCTTAAACATGCTTCCAGCCGAGAGAGGAAGGCAGCTGAGCAAGAAGCCCAGTTGTTGTCTCAGCTCAAACACCCCAACATAGTCACCTACAGGGAGTCCTGGGAGGGGGAAGATGGCCTGCTATATATTGTTATGGGCTTCTGTGAAGGAGGGGACCTATATCATAAACTTAAAGAGCAGAAAGGCATACTTTTGCCAGAGAATCAGGTGGTGGAATGGTTTGTTCAGATTGCCATGGCATTGCAGGTATTAATATACTATAACATATAAATTAATAGTTTTAAAATAAATAGGTCTGTTTTGCTTACTTTCTATTAAAAAGTCCTCAATTTCAGTGTTGGTGTGTCAACTTTGCTTACAGATTATCCATGTCAAACTAAAGTAGCTATGTAGAAAAAGAGTTCCATGTACAAAAAATTACTCACACCTTTTCAGTAGGGTAGACGGTTTTTTAAAATTAGTCTATTAATTATAATTGAAAACATGACATACTATATTATAGTTGGAAGTTAATTGTAATTGTAGCCCATAACTACAGAGTTCTGAACTATAACATATAAGCAAGTTTTGTTCTAGTTAAGGGACTGTTCCTGTTTGAAATGCTCAGTTTGCAGGAGTGTGCAGTTAAATTCTAAAAAATTTCTCTGTGAAAATTGGTAATATCTTAAAAGCTAATTTTAACCAACCAGTATTTGTGTACACAAAAATACTACTTGCAGTAATATTTTGCTCCTATAATTAAATTAAGTGAAAATTTCCAGATCATTCATTCATTTGTATGAGAAGCTGCTTCAGCTTGTTACATTTTTAAAATGAGAGAGGAATCCCATTGCAAAAAGGTTTGTTTTTAAAACAATGAAGAAACTAGGATGTTGGATTGAAAATTCTGTTTGACTTGCCAGTGGAACTTGTCTCCAGGCAAAAACTAGAACTGGATTGAAAAAAATAATTGGATAAGAACATGAATGATAGGTCCATCAATGGCTGTTAGCCATGCTATGGATAGTTCTGACTGCCAGATGCTGGGAGTGGATGACAGGGGATGGAACACTTGATGAGTGCCCTGTTTTTGTTATTCCCTTTGAAGCATCTGGCATTGGTCACTCTTGGAAGATTGGTAACTGGACCATTGGTCTGACCAAATATGGCCGTTCATATGTTGTGGCTAGACATACAAATGTCCACAACAGAAATTGGTCTTACTCATATAGGCTTAGTCCTGCAATTCTTACTCATACTGTCCTTAATTCAGACAAAATTCCTCACTAGGGCTGCAGGATTGGGTTTGAAATGAATTGCAATATGAAGACAATGGAGAGTGAGTTACAGATTGAGCCTTAATTTTGTACTCTTTGCTCCTGTTGGGTTGTGAAATTTTAAAAATATATAGGCATGTTATACTAAAGAAATAACAAAGTTGTGCATATATCTATGTTAATATACTAACCTGTTCATGCTAATTGTAATCTTGTGTATAGTGATAAGCAATTTTGTTGCATTTGAACTTTTCCTGTTTTCCTCTGGTTAGAGGAGAAGAGCAAATTAACTGTTTAACTTACTCTTTTTTCAGTATTTACATGAAAAACACATTCTGCATAGAGATCTCAAAACTCAAAATGTGTTCCTGACAAGAACAAATATAATTAAAGTGGGAGATCTGGGAATAGCCAGAGTGTTAGAAAATCAGTATGATATGGCCAGTACTCTCATTGGCACACCTTATTATATGAGTCCTGAACTGTTTTCCAACAAACCTTACAACTATAAGGTAAAGTATATTGATGTAAATATTCGCTCTACTGTGTTAGTTGACATTAAGGGAGCCTTTAACTCTGAAGTTTATAAGCTATCTAGAACAGTCATTCAAGTTATTTTGTCAATCAAAGAGTATTGCAATCTTGTGTGTTTATGGAAGTAATGTCTCTGTAAAAAGCACTTCTTGGGGACTGCTTTCCTCCCCTCCTTTTTTTTTTCTTTTTTTTAACACCCACAGGGAGGAAGCTTTTTGGAATTAATTTATCTTAAAGAAACTTGTTTTTGTTGTATGTGAATTGTCCTCTTGTGACACAACCTGGTCCTAACAAAGTAGCAATCAGCTGTTTCAGTAAAAGTTTAAATGCCAGTTCAAAGAAAAACCTTTGTTTAAATGTATGTTAAAATGCTGACCTATGAAACCTAAACTAATTATATGACAGGGTTAATTTTTAAAATTGCTATTATGTGAATCCTCATTAGTTATTTGTTGTTACACATATGGAGATAAATATTCAAATATACTCATAGTTTATATGGTCTTTTAAATGTATATGTGAAATATTGCACTGCATATTAAAAAAAATGCCCTGCTGTTAATTAAATTGTAAGCTATAGGCCAGATGTACCAAAAATATTAACTAAGGAAAAACTTAAATATAGAGACTCCAAGCTGCAGTGAGTAAAATATTTTCTTTCCCTCACGTGCATGCATGTGTGTTATAAAGCTCAGATTCTGTATCGTGATTCGTGGTGGGGGTGTGCTGCTACACTGTTTGAAGCTCCATTGAAAGTCTGGCGCTCTACATAAGCACACCAGTCTACACCTGTAATTCACAGTACAAGATTTAGACTTAAATTATGGCCATAACTTTGCTTAAGTGCAGTCTGTCATATTCAGAGATAGTTTATGGCTGAGATTTCAGTGAGATGTAACTATGTGGGAAGTTTGAAGGAGGAAGTAGTTTCAGATCTCTTTGGAGTTAAAGGAACTCATAGAAATTTTAGAGACAAGTCAGTATTTGAAATCTGGGTGATTTTTTTAATGATCTGTAACTCAAAAACAGACCAACTTTTTTTTTTATATACCATACAAAAAATTTTTCCTTCTCCCTCAAAGTGGTACTTCTCAGAACAAACCAGTTTTGTTAACTATGACTGTATGCACTTTGCTTGAGACCTTAACTATGGTGGCTGCCACCTCCGCATAAAGTCTGTTTCTGAATAGGTTGTTCAGGAGCATATTATTTACTTTAAAAAAGTGAACTGTTCATATTGCATCTGAAGTGCTTATGCTGATTTTTCTGGTTTTCCTTTCACAGTCTGATGTTTGGGCTCTGGGCTGTTGTGTTTATGAGATGGCCACGTTGAAACATGCTTTCAATGCTAAAGACATGAATTCTTTAGTTTATCGAATTATTGAAGGAAAGGTAAAAGCTGATCTAAAGTTTTGGTTTTTTTTGATTTAGTGGAAACATTTTAGAAATATGCTATAGTATAAAACCCTTCTGATGTGGCTGCTAAATCATATTTTAAATGCAAAATATGTATATTCAGTGTTGTAGTCCTATCTTGTGTTTGGAACTTGATATGACTGTTTTCAATCAAAATAAGAATTTCAAGTATGATTTATAGGGTTAGTATAAATTCTGTATCCACATGTGTGATGGAAGTACATCATCCTGTCCGTTCAAATGTTTGGTGTAAGATATGGGTACCTGCTGCTTTAAGGGCAGATCCAGAAAGTAGTTTATTTTTAAGGTATCATTTGAAATTCTGGTATTCACCTGGTATGCAGTCAGTAGATTAGAGGAAATAAGTCACTTCAGCTTATTTTGGATATAACTCTTCCACTCTTAATTTTAACATTATGGCAAAAATCTTATCACAATATTTTCTTGTTTGGTACATATAACTGGATTACTTTAGCTCAATGTTAGTTCCTTATCTGGTTTGCATGTTATAAAACAAATTTACATTCTGATCTTCAGCTGTAACAAAAATGCTTTAAAATTTAGTCTCAGTAAACGTAGTTTTAGAAATATAGCCGTGTTAGTCTGGTGTAGCTGAAACAAAAAACAGGACTATGTTGCAAATCTTCGAGTGTGCCTGACCAACTCTGAATACCTTACTTTAAAATTTTTGAATCCAGTTTACTAAATTTCCTTATATGTAATCTTTTGTGTGTGTTTGTAGTATTTTATTAGCAGTATAGTAAGGGGGAAAAACGTGTAGGGTTCTTTCATTAAACTTTACCCGAGCCTCTGTTCAGAAAGATGCTTAAGCACTTGCCTAACTTTAAGCATGTGACCTCAGTGAAACTACTGCGCTTAGTTAAGGCTTGTCTAGACTACATCCCTCTTTCGGAAGAGGGAAGTAAATGAGCCCGATCGAAAGCGCAAATGAAGCAGGAATTTAAATATCCCGTGCTTCATTTGCATAATCATGTCCCAGTGATCTTTCAAAAAGGTATTTTGAACATGAAACTGCAGTCTAGACACGGTTCTTTTGGGGGGGGAACCCCTTTTTCGAAAGTTCATGTACTTCTCAATTTTTCAGGAGTACGGGGTCTTTTGAAAAAGGGTGTTGTTTTTTTTAAAGAACTGCATCTAGACTGCAGTTTCACTTTCGAAATACCCTTTTTCAAAAGACTGCTGGGAAGCAATTATGCAAATAAAATGTGGGATATTTAAACCCCTGCTTCATTTGCATTTTCGATCGGACTCATATACCTCTTTCAAAGAGGGATGTATGTAGTCTAGATGAGCCCTTAGGGACATGTTTATGTCCCTAGCTAAGTCAGTGCTCCAATGCTCACATAATCCAAAGCAATTTCCACAGGCAAGTTTTGTTTCTGTATATTGATCTCTAAAACAAAGCTTCCTATTTTGAACATTAGGAATCCATTTGTTCCCATGATTAAATAAATGTATTCTTTCAATACTCTTTACAGTTGCCACCAATGCCAAAGGATTACAGCCCACAACTTGCAGAACTAATAAGAACTATGCTTAACAAAAAGCCTGAAGAAAGACCGAGCGTGAAAAGCATACTAAGGCAACCATATATCAAGCACCAAATATCTCTGTTTTTGGAAGCCACAAAAGCGTAAGATGTATTTAATTTATTAATAATTCTTTATAAAATAATTGATTTGTGCAATTCAACAATGTTGTCATCACTATTTTGGAACAAGATAGTGGAGTTACTTTTGCTGTATATAACTGCAAGGTATGGGGGAAGAAGTGATCTTTTCCATTTGAGTGAAGAAATTATTTGAGAACTTCAGTAGGATGCAAACGAGTTACATTAGGTCTGTGTAGAAGGAAAGAGGATTTTGGTTTCGGATTGCATGTCACCTTCAGAACGTAATAATCCCATTGTTGTTCATTCACTTTGGTGAGTGTTTGGAACCAGTCAGAGAAGTCTTGCCTGATTGTTAGAAGATGTATTTGGCATCCCTAATTAGGAGCAGGGGTTTTACTTAGTTCTTAACTGCAATGAATCAATATTTTTTAATAGAAAAACTAAACATCTTGTACTTTTCACAAGTGTAATGTATTCATTATTTGAAAAAAAAAAAAGCCATGTTGTTTGCTTCAAATCCACTGTTTATTGTAATATAACTTGTGAAAGATGGAAGGATAGATTACTAATTAGAGTACGTGATTGGGACACCCCAGGTTTTCTTCATGGCTCTGGTACTGAGGATCCTTAATCAAGTTGATTAACCTCTCTGTCAGTATTTCTCATTTGTAAAATGCTCATGGTAATAGTGACTCACTTAACAGAGACATTACAGGATTAATTAACATTTTAAAACAAGTCTCAGAAGAGTAGGAGTGTTAGTCTATAACTTTAAAAACAACGAGTAGTCCTGTGGTACCTTAGAGACTAAGGTACCACAGGATTACTCATTGGTCTTCAGACAAGTATATCCTCAAAAGGGAAGTGTTCTAAAGGGCAACAGTTTGTGGACATACAGAATTTAAAGTGCTGTGCCCCATAGATAATTCCCTGGTTAACAGTCTTACTTAGAAAACCAGAGAGGTTATTCTTTTGGTATTGACAACCAGAAAATCCCACTGTAAACCTGAACTTGATAAAATAATAAAAAATCTGAAGTATCTTGAGTAGGGATGGAAGCTGATGCTTATTGGTTTCTGTTAACAGTTACTCAACTGCTGGGAACCTGCAAGCTGCTGGGAGTCCAGAAGAGGGGCTGGCTGCTAGGACCCCGGGATGGGGGTGGAGGCCACAGTGCAGGGTGGCATTTGAGAGCCTGGGGTTGGAGGACCCTTCCAGCACCCTTGCCTCCCTATGCCTACATCCCTGGTAAAACGTTTAACTGTGTAACTGATAGAATTTTGGTTACACGGTTACTGTTTTTGTATATTATTTTACATCCCGAGACTGGAGCAGTGGAGAAGACCTGGATTTGGGAGTAATCTTAAGTCTCTCTGTACTAGTAAGAGTGAAGTCTCTTGTAGCTGTGATATACGTGGGCTGTGAGGTGAAAGGGTGATTGCTGCAGGAGCACTACTCTTCCACCAAAGCACAGAATAGAATTAGGCTATGTCTACATGACAGTTCAATACCTGTGGCTGGCCTGTATCAACTGACTTGAGCTCATCAGACTTCAGGACTGTAGAACTTTGGTATAGGTTTTGTGTTCAGGGCTCCAGCCTTTGTCCAAATATACACAATGCATTTTGACAACCTCACTGCCCAAGCCCCAGAAGTCCAAGTCAGGAGGGCAGTGGCTTTCAAACTTTTTTTCTCATGACCCAGTTGAAGAAAATTGTTGATGCCTGTGACCCAACATAATTTGACTAGAATGTGGGTTCTGGGCTGGGGTTGAGGATGAGAGCTTTGGGATGTCGGAGGGGGGCTCCAGCTTTGAGGAGAATCAGGGCTGACTGGAGGGCCTTACTTTGAGTGACTCCTGGTCAGTGTGGTGCAATAGGTGCTAAGGCAGACTACCTGCCTCTCTTGGCACTGCAGACCATGCTGCACCCCAGAAACAGCCAGTAACAGTTTCACAGCCAATGAATATTTGGGGCAGAGGCAGTGCGCAGAGCCCTCTTCCCCCAGGAGCGGATCCTGCTGCTTCTGGGGCACAACGCAGTCTGTGTACCAGGACAGACAAGAGTGCCTTAGCACCCCCACTGGTCACCTGATCACACTGCAGCAATGGGATCCAGTGCCTGACATTTCATGACTCAGTACTGAGTCAAAATCCATAGTTTGAAAACCACTGAAGTGGTTTTGAAGGGTCTGTTTGCTTCTTTTTCTGGCTGGAGAAAGAGCATCATAGAGTGGTGCTTGAGACTGGTGGGGAAATAGCTTTCAGATTGGGGCATGAGACCCTGCAGAAACTGGTCTTTATTCAGTGCCAGACAGTGGTGGGTGGGGGGAGGATGTTATAATTAGAGACACTTTCCCCAGTCACTACATTTATGCCAGTTCATGTATCTCATATTTAAATAAGAAAATAAAAATAAGAATTCTCCTCTCCCACTGACTCTTACCCACTTACCCAGACCAGAGTGATTTCACAAGTTTAGAGGAGTGTGGCAAAATTAGAAACCATTCAGTAACATTTGGAAGATATTACAAATCCTCTGCTTAATAAACCCTATGCCGATTCCCAGCTCTGTAGTAAATTTGTGATCAGTGGTTCCACTGAATAGAAAATGGAAATAAAGCTTGTTTTTTAACTCTGTTGGACAAAAAAGTTGAATATAAATTGTCATCCGTTTGAATTAACCACTTAATTGCTCCCAGATATGAGACATCATGGCAATACACTTTAATTACAAGCCTTATTATTGTTTGATTTGTACCTTCTGCAGTCATTTACAGCTATGCAAAATGGAAGTGGTATTCTGCAGTGATTTGTTAGCAATTTGAGTACCACTGCCATTTTGCATAGCTGAAAATGATTCTACATGATACAAAACAGAAAATCAAGTAATTAATTTCCACTAATTAGAGTTTTTGTTAATGTGAAAGGGTTGAGTTTTATAGCTGAATGGCATCTGTTTTAATAAGATCTTAAAATCTTTGTCCTAAGAGGGTGAACAACTTTTTTGTTTTCATTTTCTTTAAAGAAAAACAGCCAAAAATCATAAGAAAATATCTGATTCTACACCCAAAAATGTTTCTGTGATCTCAGTGAAAACTGAATATAACAATGAAAAGGTCACACCCCCAAAACACCCCTCTGAACAAGCCAAGAGACATAAAGCTGTAAGTTACTTTTTTCCAAAGTGTGCATAATTGGCTTTTATAAAAAAAATATTTGTGTAAATATTTAATAGAATGATATTTATTGAAATACTTTGTGTTTTTCTAATATCTGTATTTAATAAAACTGTGTAAACTATATATGAAAGGAGGAGAGAAATTGTATTAATGTGGAGCTGAAGCTAAGAAAATAGGCACAGATCAGTAAAACTAATTGCAATGGTCTTTACTGAAAAATACTCACAAGGTTTAAGTATAATGTTCTATTTTATGGAGTCATTATGTTGTTGTTGTTTTTTTTTAACCTGACAGTAGTTAGCTTTTGCATGTGGCACAATCGTGTTAATGCTATGACACTATCTCCAGAAGAGTCTCTAATGTCACTGGATTAACAGACATGTTGGCAAATGTTTAACAGGCAAATGTTCACAGTGAAAATATTTGCTGCAGCTTGTGACTAGAAAATCGATTTATATATTTGAGGAAAATTGCTTGTTACCAGAGGTGAATACTTTAGTGGTCAAAAATAGATAACTAATAAGATGAGTTTGCCCATTGTTCATTTTCTGCACTGTTTGCCCATTAGTTACTTTCAGTTCTTGTTTAAATATTGAAGCCTGAAACGTGGTTTAATACATCTTGGAGAGCTATTAGGACTTTATTTACAGCCTGTGGTCATAGGGGCAAAGTGGGTGCATTGATTGTGGAATGGGAGGTGTTGGCAGCTGAAGTACCAAGCTTCTCTTTAGACTTTATAGCTTATGAGAGCCTTTGTTATATCTCTTATTGAAACTTACAAATTGTACTTGATTAAGATTGTTACATTATCATTTTTTGTACTATCTCTGGTATACAGGTGACTTCTTTGAACATCAAAAATATGCCTCAGTAATTCTACTTCTATGTTCTTTTTATAATTACAGAATGAAGAAAAACATGTAATCAAAGATAAAACATTTGAAATTCATTCCTCAGAGAAATCAGCAGCTGAGCTTGAAAAAAATGCAAACAAGAATGAGAAGAACAGCACAGGAGTTTCCATAGCAACTATTAGCAAAGTTGATATTGATATTTTATTGTCTGAAAAGAGAGACTCTAAAAGTGATCACTTACTAAAGGATAACCAAGCAAAGCGTTTGAGCATTCCTAGTGATTTAGAATCTAAAATAACATCTAATGGCTCACAGACTAAGGAAGACAGACAACAGCAAAACTCAGAGCCAGCTTCTAGAACTGAAACTCTGGATTCTAAGCAGTTTACTGTTGATGTTGCAGGTGAAGGCGGTGATACTTTGAAACTCCTGCAGCCTGTCTCCAACCAAAAGCAAAATGATGACAAGGTTACGATTTAACTCTTAAATGTGTTTGGTAGAAACTTGAACTAATGGATGGTTTATAGAAAGAACAAAGCTGAATAAATGTTGTCATTCAAAGTGGGGCACTGCTTATCAGAGCTCTTTGGGGGGAGGGTCAAAGCAGTTAGGAGAGTACAGGATGGACCTCTCGGCTACGTCTACACTGGCCCCGATCCTCCGGAAAAGGGCTTTTTTTCCGGAGGATCGGGGCCAGTGTAGACGCTCTTTTCCGGCTTTTCTAAAAGCCAGAAAAAAGCGGCGGACATTTTTATTTAAATGCCGCGGGGGATATTTAAATCCCCCGCGCATTTCCCGATTGCGACTCGTGAAATTAACATGCCCCTTCCGGAAAAGGGGCCAGTGTAGACGCTCTTTTCCGGCTTTTCTAAAAGCCAGAAAAAAGCGGCGGACATTTTTATTTAAATGCCGCGGGGGATATTTAAATCCCCCGCGCATTTCCCGATTGCGACTCGTGAAATTAACATGCCCCTTCCGGAAAAGGGGCCAGTGTAGACGTAACCCCCTTGTCTGGCACCCTTGGGACCTGATAGGTCCTGAACAAGGGAGTTTGCCAGACCAGGGAGGTCAGGGCTCTCCTGTGGGATGGCCAGCCTCCTGGACCACTCCCTTTCTGTTGGCTGGGCCCCAGATCTGATGGCTGGATTCAGCTGGCTGAGCCCCTGGTCCCAGCTGCTGGGGCTCTCGGGTCCAACACCATCCATAGTCCTGTTGGACCATGGATGTTGCTGGACGGGGAGGTCAGACCTCTCCCGGAGGACTGCCAGCCTCTTGGAAAACTCACTTCCTTGTAGCCAGGCCTCGGGTCTGCCAGCTGGATTCTGCTGGCCCCTCTGATGCTGGCTTCCCAGCCAATCCCCACTTGTAGCTGCTGGGGTTCTCTGCTGCAACAGCATCTGCAGTCCTACCAGACTGGATGTTGCCAGACCAGAGGGGTTCAGCCTGTATAATGGAAATGGAGTTAGAGAAGGTGAATGGTGGAAGAAGGAAAATGTGTAAAGGAAGGAGGAAGAGAAAGATAGAGAGTAGATTTTAAAGTAAGACAGGTGGAGAGGAAGAGATAATGACATCTCCATTAAATCTAATATATAAAGGAGAATGTTTGTATGTTTGTGCGCTAATAACTTGGGCACTGTAAGAGCTACTGCAACCAAACTTTGCATGGGATAACCTTTCCTCCAGGAGAAGGTTTTAAGGTACTTTTGGCAGTGCAGGGAGAAGTGGCTTCCTGGGGGAAGTGGCAGGGATGGTCACTCACTAAGGCCAGCGGTGGAGATGTGAGGGGAGGGGCAGCGCTCCGAGCAGCAGCTGCCCCGCTTGCCTCTGCCAGGCCATTCCCCGGAAGCACCTGCGCAGTGGTGGGGGAGCCCCCTCCTCCCTCCCGCCCATGATGTCACTCAGCCCAGGACACTCCCCTCTGGTGGCGGCTGAGGGTTGCTGAGTGGTGGGCTGAAGCTGGAGGCCGCTGCTAGGGGAGCGGTTGCTGGCGCAGCGGGGTGAGCCCAGCGGGGACGCGGCGGCAGTGCAGGGAGCAGCCCAGGGTCTGACGCAGCTTCCTGGTCGCGTGGCAGAGAGCCCAGCACCTGCTCGCCACGGCCTGCGGAAGGGGGGAGCCCCCAGCACGGCCCCATGGTGCGGCAGGTAGCGGAGTGAAAGTTTTGGGTCGGGCGGTGAGGTCGTTGCCCCCCGTGGCACCTGCAGCCCTGGGCGCGAGCTGGACCCCCCGCAATTCCCCTTAGGTCCCGTGCTCACCCCCTCCTGCGCCTCACATGGGGCACTCCCGGCAGGACCCCACCTCCCACCCTGAGCAACGCCGGGTAACTCCAGCTAGTAAATTACTAAAGGAATAGTGAAGGAGTAAACAGGACATGAGACTACCATAAGAGAAAAGCATTGGCAAGAGGGAAAATGTAAATTATCCTGACCCTCCCACCTTCCTCAGTTGGGTGGTTGGTGGAAGCAGAAAATGTTGGGCATTGCTCTTTTCTCTACACTCTTCAGCTGCAGCCAAAATAATTCCCTTACATAGATATGCTGGGAGTCCCATCTCTCTTGCAAATGCACAGAGCCCATAATAGTTTGACACTCAGTGAAAGTATATTAAAGTAAAATACCGTTGATTTCCCTATTGTCTTGGATTTAAATAGTCGGTCTGTCCTGTATGTGCAGCTGTCTTTTCCATTCAGTCATTTATAAGGATGTTGTTTTATTTAGTCAGTGATTCAATGAGTTCTGTTCTAGAATTAGACTTTTTTTTTTTTTTTAAAAGCCTGTCTTTCTCACATTGCTTGCTCTTGTTTTAGTTTGATCATGAAAATGTAGTAATTTCTTATTTCAGACCTTGGACTCCACTGAGAAGTTGCTAGAACCCTTTGTTCCTGTCATAATTCAAGTGAGTGTTCTCGCATTATACTTCTGCTTAATTGGTTGGCATTAAAATGGTTGTAGTTTTTTTTTACAGAGAAACAGCAAATGCTATTGTCTGGTGAATATCTTTTTTCCTTTACAATATTTGATTTTTTGGAGACGAGGTTACAAAGAGGTTTTCTGACATTGCTGTTAGGATGGTGAAACATCTGAAACTTTGCTAACACATATTTGCTAATCACAAAAACTAGATATATTACAGTATTAAGTACAGATGTAAGTGTACAGAACTTGTGAAATGTATTTATCGTTTCCTGTGCAACTAACATGCTAACTGGTAGGATGCATCATTTTAAAGGTTCAAATGTCAATGTATTTAAAATGTACACCTTGTTGCAATCTTAATGTCGGCTTTTGGGCTTTTTATATTTCCTGTAAATTTTAAAGATCCAAATAAAAGATTTGTAAGCATTTTTTCAAATAGATGTTTATGGTGGTTGGAAATTAAATAAAATCCATAGCATTCCAAAGGATTTTAAGTGGCCTTTGTCAATATATGCAAGAACAAGTCTATATTGGAATCAGGAAAAACATGCCTAAACATTAGAAAATATTTTTACTTTTTAGGATGAAGTCTCTCATGGAATTCCAGAAGTAGTTCAGGAAAAATGCACCACTTACTTACAGCCTCATCGCTCTGTCTCTGAACCTTCTCTCTCACGGCAACGATGGCAAAAGAAAAGGGAGCTAGAAGAAGTATGTTTAGAGAAGGTATAGATCATTTAAAATGACACTGCACTACTTATCTTCCCATTGTACAACAAGATTGTAAAGGTTTTTTAGATCCTTTCCATTAGTAAAACCATCTCCAGTCTGTGTATAATTTTATTTTATACACATTCATAGAATTGCATTTATAACAAAATGGGTAACTGTGGACCTTGGAAATACTCTTTGTGGGTGCATTTTTGTCCAAGGATGTCAAAGTCCTGAATAATCAATAAGCTTCTCAACCCCCAAAGATACAAAATTATAATCCTTCAAGGAAGCATGAGCACATTGAAGTGCACAAAGATGGTATGACTATATCTCTCTCTTTATTTATTACAGCAGTACTTAGCAACCCCCAACAAAAACTTATTTTGTTTGGCAATGTAGAGAACACATAATGAGAGACGGTCCCTATCCCCAGAGAGTTAGTATAAATAGACAAGACAGATGAAAGATTGTGAGGAAGGGGTATGACAATGCAGGAGCTTCAAATACCCTGTTAGTTTGTTTTGGTTTTGAGTGAGATTTTGTTGTGAGGGTATTCCCTAATTTCCTTGTCCTTCCTTTGTCTACATTTAGTTAAGTGGGTGTGGGCGGGGGCGGGCGGAGACAATAACACAATGGTAGAATTCTGAATAGGACTTTTGAATGGGGCTGAGAAGGAAATATGGCCTAAGGACCCAATCCAGCCTGCCAAATATTTGGATCGGGCTCAATGGGACCTTCAGGCAGGCTTCCTGGTGGCTATAGCTGCACGTGCTGCTCAAAGCAGCTGACTGCTAGAGCAAGCGTGTATATCTCTGTGTGGTGCACCCCTTGGAGGGAGGGGAACAATGGGTCTCAGCTTGCTGCACATGCTTTCAAGCACTGCCCTTGCAGCTTCCACTGGCCAGGTGCTTTGAGCAGTGTATGTAGCCACGGCAGTCCGGGAGCCTGCCTGAGGGTACCACTAGGCTACTGGCTAGGATTCACCTATGGTAAGCTGGGCATGTAGGCTGGTCAGAGCCTGCACCTGGCTCCTCTTCCTGCACTTCAGATTCCTACTCCACGTTAGGGATGCAAAAGGGTAGTCAAATAGTCGATAAGCCTAGGCTTGTTGGGTAGTCGAGTTGACTACTCGTATTCTCCCCTCTTTCCCCCCCTCCCCCGCTGCCTGTATATCAGATCTACTCCCACTGTGGCTCTGCAGTTTAGATGTAGTAGGAAACGGGCTGCCTACATGCCCGGCTCCTACTACATTTAAACTACAGAGCCACAGCAGCCCCTTATCGACTAATTGAGTACTCGATATAAATTGTATTGAGTATACAATTAGTCATTTACTCAATACTTAACATCCTTATTCCGGGTCACAATCCTGTGCTGCACACAAACTCCCTTCCTGCCCCACATAGGGCAGAACCAACCATAGGGCACCCATACTCCCTAACAGAAGTTGCACACCCTTCTGTCCCTCAGTTTCTTACCCATAGCTCCCTCCTGTATGCAAACTCTGTCCCAGACCCCGCACCTCCTCCATTAATATCAGACAATTGCAGCCCTTGACTACTTACAAAATTCTTGGTGTCTTCCCCCTCCCCCACCATTGAAAATTATCGTCCACCCCTGCCTAGAGTCCTGACTCCCAGTCCTGGATTGCTAGATTAGTGTTTGCAGCTCTAGATTTCAGAGCAGACAGTAACCAGTTTCTAATTCTCAGAACAGACCAGTTGCTCCTCGGCCATTACCCCTTCCTCCTGATGTGAATGTGAAGACAGCGTACAGCCCTGAAGATCAGCATGGTACTGAAGTAACTGAGTCTGTAAACAGCTCTAAAAATAGTGAGAGAGCAGTTTCAAAGGTTTGTTCTGAACATCATTTTATATGCATATTTATTTTTGTCACTTTCTTACTATTTCTTCTGAGCAGTTTGCTCCAAAAGCATGTGGGGTGGGGAAAAGAAATGTATAGCAACTATCCGTTTTTATTTTAATTTCTGTCTTGCATCTGATCAAGTTGGAGAATAGAAAGACAGCCCCTCTTTCATCTAATTGAAACAGAGACGTTAGAGGTACCTTTCATACAAAGATTAGGCTTATTAATCAAGATCCCCATGGAAAAAATAATATGCTCTATGCTGCATTACCTGAAACTTTAGTTAGCCATCTTTTCCAGGTACATTTGGACAAAAGTTTTCATTTAAAATATGACACATTGATTAAACCACCATGACTGCCACAATTAATTATTTGATTTATTTAAAGGATCGACCCCTATCAGCAAGAGAGAGGCGGAGATTAAAACAATCCCAAGAAAAGATGTTTCCTTCTGGTAACTTTTTTTGTATGCTATTTTTTCAACCGATGCAGTGAGGTGGTTTCTCTATGGAAACTCTAACTTGCAATCTAGTCTTCAGTATTGACTTCTTCAAATATACAAATGAAACATAGCTTTGATATTGATAGTTTTTATTTAACTTTTATTTTTCTAATGCTCATTCAGTGGTGTTAATGTTGCTAATTAGATGTTTCCACAAGAAATGCACTTTCCAGCTAGAAGCTTCCATAATTTTTCTTGACTGATTTTATATCTGGTCTTGATACTATGCTTGGAGGCACACTAAAATGTTTTACTGTCACCAGTGCCCAGCTTCCAAAGAATATTAAAAGATTTAGACTTAGTTGAGAAAAATGAGTTTGGCCTTGTCAGTATCACAAAGCTACCATGCAATTGGTATAATGGGCAATCTCTTCCTGAAATGCCGAGGACTGGAATAACAGATGGTGGGTGAGTCATTTAAGTGCATTGGCAGAGCTTTGTGGAGAAGCTCGGGTTGGGACTAGAATGACAAGGGATGGTGAAGGCCAGAACTGAATCAATGCTAGAGAAATACTGCATGGGGAACTTGCAGAACATATACCTACATTCTGCCAGGCTTTAGTTTTTCCCCTTGTACATACTGAAATGTTGTAAAAATGTCATCCTTCTAGTGCCTCCAGCAAGACGAGCATCTCACAGTGCGGTAGCTGAAGCAAAGTCACTTGTGGAAGATCATATTAAAGTTACTCAGTCCTCACCAGATCCCAGTATTTTTCAGGTAAACTAGGGTCATCTGCTTTAGAAATATTGAAATGCAGACCAAATTTGAGTAGACAAATAAAGAACATGTATTACAAACAATGAGTAGTCCCGTGGCACCTTAGAGACTAACAAATATAATCATGAGCTTTCGTGGGTAAAATGCAGATTTTACCCACAAAAGCTCATGATCTAATACCTTTGTTAGTTTTTAAGGTGCCACGGGACTACCCATTGTTTTTAAAAATACAGATATGTTATACTACGTATAAAGGAACCTCTTAGCAACTAAGACTGCATAGCTATTCTAAGCTGTTGCAACAGAATATACTGGGTGCAATAAATGTCAATAACTCAATTTTTATATTTGGTAAAAACAGTTTCTAATTCACTCAGCAGCAGCAAAGCATTGGAAGAGTCAGTTAGCTTCTCTGAAGTGTAGTTATGGCTTATTGAGTAGACAGCTGTGGAGAAGCTTTCCCTGACACTTTCTGGGCTATGCTTTGCCTGTGGATAAATAATTTCACTTGCTGTGAGTTGCAAAATACCCTGAGATTTGTTTATTCATATAATCTGATTGGCTTATCTGGAAAAAAAATTGTTTAAAATATTTTACGGAACCAATATCATAAAAACAAAAAAATACACATATGAAGACTATGTGTCTACTGGGGATTGAAGATGGATTTAGTACATATAAATTATTATATTTACATATGCTGGTGTATATTTTTTTGGATGCTGTGCTCAAGATTGAACACACACTTTCAGAGGCACAATTGGAGGGTTGTTTGAAGCATCATGGAAAAAACTGTGAGGTACATAGTTTGTAAAGCATTTATATATTTACAGTGTATTTTTATAACAAAGGATACATTATAATCTAACAACACTCGCTCCTTAAAATATTGTAGTTACCTAAAAATCACTACCTGAGAATTGACCACCAGAATGAGCATAATGTAGAAAAATCTCATTTGAAGAGCAAGTCAATGATGAAATAGTAAGGGAACTGTCATTTGATTAGGAAAAATCTATAGTCATAATTTCAGTGGTATCATCCTCTGCAGTATGACAGGGATTTTCATCTCTGCTCTGGCTCCCAGGGCTAGGTTCTCTGGTTGGTGTCATTGAAAGTGGGATGAGTTGGGCATTCAAAAGCTCTTTCTCCCACAAACCACAGTGGTAACAAGCCTGACAAACTTAGAAGTGCGTGTGTGCGTGCGTGTGCGCATATAATGAGAAACTGTTTTAAAAATCATCATTTTGTATATTGTACTTTAACATAGGATGCATTGCTTAATTTAAAAAGAATCTTTGGTGATCCTAGGGAAGTTGGCTTTGACATGTAGGACTGAAAACATTTATTCATCGAAGTTGTGAGAGGCATCTATATATAGTGCACCACTGCTATATTGGCTGTCGCTCTATTATCCATGCCATACTAACACATCTCTGTACAAGGCAGGCTGCTGACCAAACATTTGCAGCGTGGTGAGCATCTGATTTTTCTGCACACAAGCATTTGATTAGCTGAAGGATTGATTCAGGACCACATGATATTTTACATAACTGCTGTCATTAGTCTAGTCTGTCTTCCAAGAACAATCCAGGCCTAATAGGGGAATGTAGTTTTGGATGTTCTTGAACATCATGGAACCATTCCATTCCTTGATAATTTGCCCTCTTAGTAGGAGGTATTAATGTACCCCTATCAGTGGTAATTTTTCTGTTTGCTTCTTAGAAAACAGTCACCAACGTAGCTCTGAAAGCTACGAACTCAGCTGAAAGCTACGAACTATGCAAATGAACTCAGCATATGAATGCCTCCAATGCATTTATGACCTCATCAATTATCTGTTTCAAGCACCTTCAGAGTGAGGATGGTCTCTTCAGAGGCTGAACCAAATATCTCCCAGTAAGAAAATTTAGTCTTTCTAGCCAAGCCAACCTCCCAGTGGTGTCATATCCTGAAAGGGTGTGGTAACCTGGCATTGCAATTGCTTTTAATGATCCAAGTTATAGGAACACATCTCTAAGGGATGTACAGCAATTCCATTTCCAGGTAGCAGGCACAAAAACAGAATCTTGAAGGAGCCTTGGGTAGTGCTTCACAGAGAGTACTGGGATATCTGTGTTATGACAAAATCCAGAGTTTAATAGCACTTCTCTCAGTGGCATTGATGGCATGCAAGGTAATTTTAGTATTAGCTTCCTTATGGGAGCTAAGAAGTCCACTGAATGGTGTGAGGCAGCAGCTTCATTATTCCATGCATTAATGAAAATCTCAGTAGTCCTTCACATAAGTGGTTTTGTTTTGTTTTTTTATGGGGTATTTGGTTAATTCATATTTCATGTGAATGAGACAATTGCTTTTTCATTGTGACATTGGAGACGTTCATGGAATGATGATTTTTGTATTAAATGCAGTGCCATGGAGTAACTTCTCTGGTAATGTTTTTAATTAGTTCCTCTGCATATATGTCAAAATGAGGTGGCTGCCTTCATAGGTCTAATATTTACTCTCTATCGTCATAATGAAGTGTTCAGTCAAAACTCAGTAAGGGTTAAGTTTCTTATAGAAGAGCTTGTACCCCAGTCATGCCATATATGATTCTTAGGCAGAAAGGGCTCTGCTGGCATAGGATATTACTGTAAAATCACAAGTATAATGCGCACCTACCTTTTAAATGTCAGAATCCCAGAATAAGCTGAACTCTTATCTACTTGAAGATTAGAACAACACTAATTCCTAGCTGTTTTTCAAAAACACCTATTACTGTTTCTCTCTCTTTCTTATTACCTTGTAGAATAGTGATAGAAATGTAGCCGTGTTAGTCTGGGGTAGCTGAAGCAAAATGCAGGACAATGTAGCACTTTAAAGACTAACAAGATGGTTTATTAGATGACGAGCTTTCGTGGGCCAGACCCACTTCCTCAGAAGAAATCATGTGCGTGGCATTTCCATGCTGTCTTTGGGATGCCATGAGTTGTCGGCAATCTTACACGACATAAGACTCAGCTATGCTGAGGCTCATGGCAACAGAGCTGCCAGCTGGGAATTTGATGACATAGCAGAGTCTAATATTCGGCTTTGGAGATGGCAGAAAGAGTGCCTGCAAGCGCTGCCTCAGATAAAGATGGCTGAGCGAGGTAAAAGTGCTGCATATCCTGAGTTGGAGGCCAAGCTGGTTGAATAGATTGCTGAGTGTAGACAGCAAGGCAGTGGTGTTAGCATCGCGGAGGTTAGAATGAAGGCTTTGATCATTGCCAAAATGTGCGCTAACACAGCCGGATTTAAAGCTTCGTATGGCGGGGGCGATCGGTTCATGAATCGCCATGGCCTATCGGTCCGATGCCAAACAACAATCACACAGAAGCTACCCATGGATTCAGACACCAAGTTACTACAGTTCCAAAAGTTTATCGTAAAACTACGCAAGCAGCACTGCTACAACCTTTCATTAATTGGTAACGCAGATCAGACACCATTACATTTCGATAATCCCTACGACAGAACACTTGAAGTGAAAGGTGCCAAGACCGTCTCCATTGCTACCACAGGCCATGAAAAGTCTAGGTTTACCGTAATGCTTGCTTGCATGGCCGATGGAACGAAGCTGCCTCCTTATGTTGTGTTCAAGCGCAAGACAATGCCAAAGAATGTTAAATTCCCGAACACCGTTCACGTGCATGTTCACCCTGAAGGCTGGATTGACGAAGCTTTAATGCTTGATTGGTTACAGACGGTTTGGGCGAAGTGGCCAAATGGACTTATGAGAAAACGGTCTCTAATAGTTTTGGATGCATTTCGGTGTCATCGTATGCCATCTGTCAAGAAAAGGCTTCAGAAGGACAAAACAGACATGGCAATTATTCCTGGATGAAGATGTCGAGGGCTATACCCCAGAAGATATTGCTCGACTGTTTGAGGAAGATTCTAACAAAAGTGAATTCGAGGACTTCGAAGATGAGTAGACAATCAATTAACATACCAGTATTTGCTTGATTGTGCTGCAGTGTTGATTTCATTTGTTTACCTTACCTTTTTGAAACTGTAAATAGTTGGTTGTTGATGCTAAGGACTTCTCGTTCTTGCAGATTCAGACTAACAGATTTATTGGCGCGGATGAATCGGCCGAGGGCGAATCACATGTGAAGATGACAATGATTTGTATTAACTGGATGAAGATGTCGAGGGCTATACCCTGGAAGATATTGCTCATCTGTTCGAGGAAGATTCTAACACAAGCGAATTCGAGGGCTTCGAAGATGAGTAGATCAATTAACATATTTGCTTGTTTGTGTTTCAGTGTTGATTTCATTTGTTTAACTTACCTTTTTGAAACTGTATATATAGTTGGTTGTCAATGCTAATAAAAATCAACTTAACCTCTGGTGTCCAGCAATTAACTAATTGCCGTGGAACCGCCAAATGAAAACTTAAAAAAAAAAAAAAAACCTCCTATGGATAATGCGTACCCCGACTATGACGCTAAAAAAAAACGGGGAAAAAAGTGTGCATTATACTCGCAATTTTATGGTAGTTGTCATGTCAGTAGATCCTGTCTTAGGAAGACCATGCAAGACAGACATTAGTATTCTTTTCACCTAACACAATATGCATTGTTTTGTCACATTTGAACATTGATTGTACTTGCTCTGAATACTTTTCCACAGTCTCAGGTAGGTAACCGATCTATGAACAATGACCACATGGTTAGCTCTGTAATAGTCTCCGTCTTTTTACTCTAACTTTCTTCTTTGCATTTGAGCACATCTTTAATCTTTTCTCTTTGACTGGAGCCCAGAGATTAATGGAGCCTTGGACAGCTGTTGGGGTTTTGAGGACTTCATACAGTCATGCCCCAAAGTATCCATTGGACTGACGTTTTTAAGCTCTGTAATCATGAAACTGGATTTTTGTCATTATATTAAATTAGCTCTGGTCTGTTACTTGAATGGCTTACCAGTAAGCTCATCTGCATCTTTAAAATTGCCGCCTCCTTGGTGTATAGCGGCACCTAATGAGTCAAGATGGAGCTTGATTATTCCTGGAAAAGGCCATCCTATTCCATCCATGCTTAAGTGTTCCATTTGAAATTCAGTGGACTTTTGGAGTTGTCTGGAAAAGAAACTGGCAACACTAGTTGGTACTCTTCATCTCCCTATTGATATCTACAAATTATCAAGACTAAAGTAAAAACAATTTTGTAATAATTACTTTGGAATTGTAATTGTGGTTACTTAACTGTATGAACTCTGAATACTGACTTCTTATGCAATGCTTCATTACAATTATTTTGGCATAATATATCAATCCCAGGGAACTGCGCTTTGTGGCGCACTGTGTTTTTTTTTTTTTTTTTGTATTTTTTTGTGGGGGGGGGCAATAATGGCAAATCAACTTGAAGCACTTCTTCCATTTATAGCAACATATAAATTACTACAGTAACATAGAACATCTATAAGATGTTAAAAAACAAATTGGGTATCAGACATTCTGAGCATTAATTGGTAACGAGGGCCACAGTTTCAGTTTGTGAGGGTTGCATGTTTGATATGCCTGTCTTAAAACAATATTTTTAAAATTACATTTTAAAACATTATCTCAACATGTATTTGCATAATTGTTCTAGCCTTGTCATGCTTGATACCATTGTATTAGTGGGAGAAAAGGCTTTTGAATAATAACTAAGCAGGAAGAACTGGAAGTGCTAATAAATAAGTACAATTATGACATTGCTGGCATCACAGAAACTTGGTGGGATAATACACAGGATTGGAATGTTTGTATGGAAGGGTACAGCTTGCTCAGGAAGGATAGACAGGGGAAAAAAGGGAGGAGGTGTTGCCTTATACATTAAAAATGAACACTTGGAGTGAGGTGGAGATGGACATAGGAGACGGAAGTGTTGAGAGTCTCTGGGTTAGGCTAAAAGGGATTAAAAACAAAGGTGATGTCATACTAGGAGTCTACTACAGGCCACCTACCCAGGTGGAAGAAGTGGATGAGGCTTTTTTTAAACAACTAACAATCATCCAAAGCCCAAGATTTGGTGGTGATGGGGGACTTCAACTATCCAGATATATGTTGGGAAAATAACACTTCAGGGCACAGACTATCCAGTAAGTTCTTGGACTGCATTGGAGACAACTTCTTATTTCAGAAGGTTGAAAAAGCTACCGGAGGGACGCTGTTCTAGATTTGATCCTAACAAATAGGGAGGAACTGGTTGAGAATTTGGCAGTGGAAGGCAGCTTGGGTGAAAGTGATCATGAAATCATAGAGTTCACAATTCTAAGAAAGGGTAGAAGGGAAAACAGCAAAATAGAGACAATGGATTTCAGGAAGGCTGATTTTGGTAAGCTCAGAGAGCTGATAGGTAAGGTCCCATGGGAATTGAGACTGAGGGATAAAACAACGGAGGAGAGTTGGCAGTTTTTCAAAGGGACATTAAGGGCCCAAAAGCAAGCTATTCTGATGTATCGGAAAGATAGAAAATACGGCAAAAGACCGCCTTGGCTTAACCACGAGATCTTGCATGATCTAAAAATAAAAAGGGAGTCCTATAAAAATGGAAAGTAGGACAAATTACAAAGGATGAATATAGGCAAACAGCACAGGAATGCAGGGGCAAGATTAGAAAGGCAAAGGCACAGAATGAGGTCAAACTAGCTACGGGAATAAAGGGAAACGACTTTTTATAAATTCATTAGAAGCAAGAGGAAGACCAAAGAGAGAGTAGGCCCACTGGTCAGTGAGGAGGGAGAAACAGTAACAGGAAACTTGGCAATGGCAGAGATGCTCAATGATTTCTTTGTTTCAGTCTTCACTGAGAAGTCTGTAGGAATGCCCAACATAGTGAATGCTAGTGGGAAGAGGGTAGTTTTAGAAGGTAAAATAAAAAAAAGAACAAGTCAAAAATCACCTAGAAAAGTTAGATGCCTGTAAGTCACCAGGGCTTGATGAAATGCATCCTAGAATACTCAAGGAGCTGATAGAGGAGGTATCTGAGCCTCTAGCTATCATCTTTGGAAAATCATGGGAGACA